TTAAATTTTTTAATTTGGATTTTTAGAATCCAATTAGAATAAACTGATCCGATCCAAATTTAGGCAGTTTTGACAATATCATTTATCTAAATCCAAATCGAATTTTAAAAAATTCAAACCGAATCACCTAAATTGAATCAATTTTTTAATTTTTTTCAAATTTTTTTCTAACTCTACAAATATGGATACTACTTGACATTCCTAATTTTAAACTTCACTAAGGAAAAAAAAAAAAAAACCCTTGCACTAAGTTAAAATGCTATTTCTCCATAATAAGGGATTTATCAACCGTTAGTTTAGGCTTTGTTCGATTAAAAAATAATAATAATAATAATAATGAAAATTTTATTAATATTATAATTAAATTACAAAACAAAATATAATTATAAATTTTATTGATAAAATTAACAAATTTTCTATAACGACCTTCCATCTTTCTAGCAAGACTCAGCGACCGGACAAAAGCGTTATTTATCTTTTCCAATTTCCATATTCTCAGGAAAGCAATGTAAAACGGTCCCGTCGATCAAACAAAACCCAAAAACCTTTTCAACTCTCTGCTCTTCCAGAACTGAACTGAAGCCAGTTCTTGTTCTGGATCTTGCTCTTTTTCTTAAAACTTTCAAATGGATAAAAGAAGCCTAAAATCTAAGAACCCAGAATCAGGAAAGGAAGAAAACAATAACCAGAAGAAGAAAAAGGGAACGCAAATAGAGGGGTACCAAGTGGAAGGGTTGTCAATAGGAGGGCATGAAACTTGCATTGTTTTCCCTGCTCTTAACTTAGCATTTGTTATTGGTCGATGCCCACAATGTGCCCTTTCTCAGGATTTTCCTTCTCTCTCATGGCCATATGGATCACATTGTTAGTTACTTATTCCCTCTCTCTTTCTCTTCTGTTTTAATTCTTTCTTGTTTTATTGCTTTGGTAGTCTAATTCTTGTTTCTTGTTCATTACAATTGGGTTCCCCCTTTTTTTTTAACTGTTTGACAGTGAGACTGTGCTGCTTCATGTTTTTATTTGAATGTAGAATTGGAAGGTTTTTTCTTGTTAGTCTCTGTTTGCATGTACTTTAGATTGTTTCAAATTTAAAGAAATTCACCTTGGTGGTAGAGTAATGGACTCTTAGTTTCTGTAATCAGAGTTTAAATCATGATAACTTAAAACACCAAAAAAAATTAAAGAAATTCAGTTGTGTCAGAAAAGAAAAATCTGTTGCTTTTTCCTAGTTTTCCTTTCGTTTTGATGTCCCATTGTCTTCATGATGATTCCTATGATACTTTGATGTCCAATGAATGTTTATTTGCTATCTATCTTGTTTGCGTGCTAGTTATGTAAATCAGGTTTTATTTATCAGGGTGGCCTACCAATGTATGTTGCAACACGGGGTTTATATGGTATGAAGCCCCCAACAATTATTGTACCTACTGCTATAAAAGAAGATGTTGAGAAACTCTTTGAGGTGCACAGAAAGATCGATCAATCAGAGCTAAAGCATAATTTGATAGGCTTGGATGTTGGTAATGTGCAACTGTGATTCAAATTTTTAAAAAGTTTAGCCTTTTTTTCATCATTTCTTTTGCATATATTTTCTCTTTAATTGCATACCACTTATATTTGCAGGAGAAGAGTTTTTCTTGAGAAGGGACCTGAAAGTAAGAGCTTTTAGGACTTATCATGTCATACCAAGCCAGGTGGATAAATCCAGTTCTAGTATATTTCTTTCTTTTTTGGGATCCTGGTTGTGGCTTTACTTTTACTTCACATTTCCTAGGTGTACTTGTAGCAGGGTTATGTAGTTTACTCTATAAAACAAAAACTTAAAGGAGAGTACTTTGGCCATTCTGGAAATGAGATCAAGAACTTGAAGTCATCAGGTGTGAAGGTTTGTCTTGATAATCATAATTATGAACTAATTAAAGTTCAAAAGATGGTTGATAGCCTTTTGTTTCCTTCACTTCTTAAGTTACTGCTGTTCCTTTTTGTATTGGTCTCGTCAACCAGAAAACTTCTTTCTGTTTTTTTTTTTTTTTCTTTATTTATATAAAAGAAATTCTTCAGATAAGAAGATTACAACTGGTGCAGAGTTTAAGAATATGTTATCCATCATATTTAGTATCAGGCTTTAAACTTCTGCTAAGTCTGCCTTCTGTCTTTAATTGCTTTGACAAATTATACCCTGAATTAAGATAAATTCAAAAGTAATGCAAAAACATCTTTGTTCAAATAGGAAACCAACTTAGGAGGGAGACAGAGAGAAGTATGATATGTCGAACTTCCAAAAATTGGTTTGCAGAAGGATTAATCAATATAATATCTATTTGTATGTGCTTTCAAGAAAAAAAAAATCTGTTAATTTTATGAGTGCTGTTTTTCTTTCTGAAATTTGGAAGTACTTTTGCATCATTGGAACTTTATAGTTTATATCTGATAATAATTGGTAAAATTACCCAAGTGGTTTTTCAAAGAGTTTTTAAACTACTTGTGTTTAAAATTTCTCATCATTGTATACGAAATGTTATCCATCCTTTTACATTTGCACTTAATTCTCTTATAGAGCTTGTATTTAACTTGGTTGAATTCATGTATTGGCAGATTACTAACACTATTACAGCACCAGAAGTTGCTTTTACTGGAGATACAACGTCTAACTTTATACTTGACAAGGCTAATATTGATATTTTGAGGGCAAGTATTCTTGTTGTTGAGATGCATTACTGGGATTCTTTTATTTTTGCCACTTCTGAGTTAGAAATTGGTTTGCTTTGTTCTTCTGAATTTTAGAGATAAGTCAGTTCCCTTTGGTAAGCAAGCTACTTAAACGTCAAACTTAGAATTCTAATGGGAAACCACTTCCATAAAAGCAATCTTGAATTGTACTCTTGATAAATGTTAAGCATAGGCTACAAATTTATCTTAATGATACAATTTGTGATTCTTATTTAAATGATATCCAGAACACAATCCTGCATGTATTAAATGGTTATAGTTTGCCTTTGCAAATAGTGAAATCTTCAATCCTTTCCACCTCTTTTGTTGAGTGTGCTGACTCACAATGGTTGCATACCCAGTAATACTTGTGAGAGTATCATGTTTTATGGGTAGTACTTGTGAGAGTATCATGTTTTATGCCCTTGGTAATGAATTCATTGAGGAAGTGAGGAAACTCATATTATTACACGTATAGCCATAGTGTCAATAAAATTCTAAAATAATGGAGTTCCGAACTGCGGTTTAGCTTTAAAAAATGAGTTTAGTTTTTAAGGAATTTGGAAATGGTGACCGTTTGATGTATTAGATTATCAATCATAGATATTTAAGAATCAGTGTTGACCTGCGAGCACATTCGTAGATAACTCGGTATCAGTTGAGCATGCTAGAGATTATGGACACGTTCATCTGTCTGAGGTAAGACTTCTGAGTCTGTAGAAATCCTTTTGTATTTTATGTATATGACAATGTATAGTTCGGTTCAGGACGCCTAACTGTGTTTGTGTTGTTTTTATGGATGGGCTTCTAGATAATTAATTATGCAGACAAGTTTGAAAACAGAGCCATACTTTTGATTCACTTCTCTGCTCGTTATGCTTTAGAGGTATGGCCTGACAGTTCTGGTGTATCTGATTCATTTTATCTGCAACCTTCGATATTATGTTGAAGGTGTCATTCTTGTGACCAAGATAGTTCAGTAATTGTATTCAAGTTGTGTGTTGTACCCTATCTATAATCAAATATTGCCAAATTTCTTCTGGTTCAAAGATGTTTTTCTTTTATAAACAAATTTCAAAGACACTTTCTGATTGAATCAACTCGTCTGCGAGAAGATTGCAGTTGATACAGTCATAGTATGTTCTGGTAAAGAAGTTAATTCTTCAATCCCGTTTTCTCAGACTATCCAGGAAGCAGTTTCTGCGCTGCCTTCACCTTTGGCTGGCCGAGTTTTTGCACTTACAGAAGGTTTCTAAAGGAGTGGAGTTGAGAATAAGATCTCTCATTTGATCTTGTATATTTGCCATTATGCAAGTGAATCTATGTGGTCCATAATTCTGTCCTGTTGTGGTTAAGAGTTAATATTTTATTTAGAAGGCATTATGGAACTTTGTAGTGTCGCAATTATGCTTACTCAAATTTGATGATTGGTTCAGGCAAAAGTGTTATTATTATTAATTTTTTTTTGTTCTGCAAAAGTGGTTTGAGGACTTGGGCATTTATGGATGAAAAAGAAACTGAATTAAATTGTTTTATTTCATCAGTTAATGAAAATTGTTCCCTTTTTACCTCCTGGTTAACATCAAATGAGTCTCCACTGAATTTTCAGCTCTCGGCAAATTTGTTGCTTTGGTAGATAGGTGTGGTTTCTACCAACAAGATCAATGGTTGGATCTGTGAAGCCCATTCTTATCTGTAAGTCATCATCTTTAATAAACTTCAACGTCCTAAGGTGAGGAACTTGGATGGATTCTATTAATACAAAAACTGATCTTGGTTCTTCATATTGAGATCACATTTTATGAGGATGAAAGGGAAATTGCTGATTAGCTAATGATCATAAAACTGAAGAAATAAAGCATGCCTGGCTTCTCTATTCATAGTACTTTTAGGAGTTCTCGTGGATATTAAATGGACAATTACAATCCCAGTGTTATGAGCAAACTAATAAACGTAATCTAGATATGACAAATTTTTAAACACAACATGAAGATAGGAGGTGAAAACGGTATGAAGAAGAATATGAAAGTGACAAGGTTTAAAATTTTATCAAAATCCGTATGAGTTTGACAAAAACCAAATAATATGTTTTGTATTTGACACGGGACATTAATTTAACACGACAATTTTATGTTTTACACATGTTTTACGCAAAATAGACACAACAAGGATACACAACTTATCCAAGATAAAGATCTTTCAACTTACAGATATACAGTTTTGACAAAAGATAAAAAACCAACAAAGCAACCATAAGCTATCAATGGTTAAATATGAGCAGCCCAAAATAGTAAAAAAAAAAAAAGTTCCATTCAATCCAAATGGAACACAAGTCTCATTGACACAGATAGATTGAAAAACAGCAGTACAGATGATAGAAAGAGTGTCAACATAACATTACCATGATTCCTAGCTCAGCATATCTCCAGCTCTCAACTTCTCAATTACATTTGCCATCAAACAACAAAATCTTGCTTCAAAGGCTAGGGAACTAACCAATCCCTCTATAGATTTAAGTTCTTCATGGAATTCGGGATGCAAAATCAATGAAGAGAAGTTCTCATCCACAACAAACCCAAGACATTTCACAACATCTTCAAGCTTGGGAATCCAATCACAGGCCTTCAAGCCCAAAGCAGAGGAAGCCTTCGGACATGGAATGGCTTGAGGAAACCTCTCATACTTTTCCAACCACTTCCCCAAGTACCGGATCAAACTCATCATCTCTTTACCACTTAACTTACCAAGTGAAGATGACAATATCACCTCATCAACATTATTTGAAGCTAACAAATAATGCAAACAAAGCTCAGGATCTGAAAACCCATCATGCGCAACCATAAGCAAAATTGAAGCCTCCTTGGCCAAACGTGATTTCTTCCCGAGTCTTGCCTTCTCAATAGCCAGGAAAGCTTGACTTTCCCACTCCTTCCTAACATTAACCATACTAACATAACCGTCTTTAGGTGGACTTAGAAAATATTTCAATATGCAAAGCAACTCAGCTGAACCCAAATTGCGAGCATGTTTAACACAAAGACAAAGCAAATCCGACCTCTTCTTGGCAGCAACATTAACAACCAAATTTGAATAACATGAATGGTCAACAAGTCCATTAACAATCAAAACCTCCAGCAATTCCCAAATTTCCAAACTAATACAAGCTTCCAAAACCAAACTTAATACATCTCTACCTATCAAAAAGCCAACTTTCTCAAGCAAAACTAGAGTATACCCACTATCATTTGAATCAACCCCAATAAAAATTCCACCTATCTCCCTAATTTTCTCAAGAAATAGATTCAATATTCCAAGAAACTCTTCTTTATTGAAGTTATGGATGTCTTTGAGCTTTCTGTTTAACTTGGTATAGAACTTTTTGCTCAAGTCAATGAGTTTAGCATCAGTTGATGAGATTCCCCATCCTGTAAGGGGGGTAACAAGCGATGTGGGATTGGGATTTTCAACTTCAGGCTTTAAGTTGAGTAAAACATCATCTGGGTTTAGAACTATGGGGTGGTCTGCTTGGGAACAAAGTGGCTCGGTATTAGCTGAGGCCTTTGTTATTACATCAAGCAAGGTCATCGTAAAATCTAAGGCAACAATCTCTTAAACAAACAATGAAAGAAGGAAAACTTCAGAATCACTCACTAACAAAAACCACCCAACAAGAATCAAAAAGGCCCCTTAGGAAGTAAAAAAAAACTACCTTAAAGTGACTCCCTTGTGATGAAAAGGAGAGACGCGAGGTGGAGCTGAACGTTGGGGGAGCCTCAAATCAGAAAAGAAGAGGGATCGACAGGAAATGAGGGGTTTTGAAAGAAAACAGGGATATTTGTTGGTAGGGTTTTGGGAGAGAAGAGGACAGAGGAGCATGAACTAGGGGGGCCGAAGAAAAATAGTAGAATTTATAGGGTAAATAGGTTGGGTTGGGCCTAATAGTTTTCTAATCTTATTGACCCATATTTTAAAGGTCGCTTATCGGCCCATTGAATTGCATTTTACTTGCTAATATTGGTTATGCGAATCAAAGGAAAATGGATAAGTAAAATGTAAATATTTTAATCCCGCGCATCGAATTTAATTTGGATTAACGGTCTGAGAAGAGTATAAAATTAATAATTTTTACATTAATGTAAATTTAATAATTTAAAATACAAGATAATAATATAATACAAAAATAATCTAAAAAATGATACGAAAATAATATGATTTAAAATTTTAACAAAAAGATATATGAATTTGATAAAATAAAAAAATATATTTTGTATTTTTATATGATATGAATTATAAAATGTAATTTTTGTATAAAATACAAAATGAATAAAAAAATTATTAGTATTTTACAAAATATAAATACACGAATTGATAAATTTATATTAGTGTAAGTAAATTCCTTTTTATGAAAAAAAAAAAATTATTTTCGATTAATTTTTATATAATTTTAGAAGAAAATCAACTTTAAAATGAAATAGTACTGCAAATTAACATTTTTGCCTAACGCTAAGCATATACAATACGAGAATATAAGAAGGAATTTCAAATATTAAGTTTAAAATCATATATTTATTAAATGTTATTTTTTAAAAATAATTTTTTAAATCAATTAAATTAAATTTTGAATTAAAAAAAAAAAACCTTTTTTTTAGTAGAACGCATGTCTAAACTTCAAACAAAATGTGAAGGCCAACAATTAAAAAATAAAAACTTCAAACAAAATGTAAGTATCCCTTATTTCTCAAAACTAAAATATTTCCCTTTTGGAATAATATGGGAAAGAAAACACCTATTTGGGTAATTTTATTTATTTTTATTTACATCTAGGCCTAATATTAAACCTCACTGTTGTTGAACAAATGAATTATTAAGACTAAAGCTCCACTTATGAGAGCGTTTGGTCTAATTCATGAAAGAGTTTATTTGCCGCAAAAGTAAAAGCCTAATGTTTGGTTTTCAAAGTTTTAAAAATAAATCAAAATTTTTTCAAGAGATATCAATTTTAATAACAAATTTTTTACATTTTTACTTTACTCTTCAATAGTTCACAAAATTATAAAAAATATATATTATTTCACATTAATTTTTTTATTTTGTTATTTTTCTATTGAATTCATTTTTTATTATAATTAACAAAAATATTTCTTTATTTTATTTTTTTTACCTAAAAACTTGTGATTTAATTTAATAAAATTGACTGTTTACTTTTATTTATTAAGGATAAACAAAAATGCTAACAAATAATTTTTAAATATTTTATAGCACAAATTTTGTCAAATGCTATTATAACTTTTCTTTACAGCATTTTTAAAATAGCTCTACTCTAATAATACTTATTATAAAAGCTCCAACTGGACTATTTCCCCAAGTTTATGTACAAAATACAACTTAGCATAGTAAAAAAAGAACTTTTTAGGTAAGTTTGTTTGAATAAAATTTCCAACTAGTGCAAATTATATGTAATTGAGTTGGTCTGCTATGATTTTATTATGACAAAAATAAATATATAAATACATGTAGACACTTATTGACTTTTTTTTGCTTGCATCACCCATTATCATCTCAATTTTGTAGTATTGTTATATATATATATATATATATATATATATATATCCTAAAAAATCTTTTTTTTTTAATAAATATGTAGTGATAAGTACTTATTTAGAAAGTTGACTTCTTCACAAAAAGAATTTGATCAATGCAAAATATAATACTTAATGGTTGCGTCCATATGCAAAAGCATATTCATCATTGACCTTACATTTTTTCCCTCTTTTTGTTTGATATGACTTTGTATTAATTTTTTAAAGATAAATTTTGTGTGCTTTGGATGTATAAATTTCGATTTCTACGTATACATCTAATAAAACAAAACAAAAAAAAAAAGGAATTTCCTTTTCTAACTATTAAAAGGACTATCTTCGTTGCATTTCACAATTTTTATTCATTCTGTCCATATTCGTTTCTTTTTTGTTTGATTCATTAAAAAATATAAAGTTTTATATATATATATATATATATTATGAGAGCTATCATATGACATGAATTTCACGAGTTAAATTAATAGGATTATCATGAAAAGCTAACGAATGGGACTAATATGCATGTTTCGATACCACATTACCATGAACATTTGACCTAAAATCAATTGATTACAAGTAGAGATGCATGCCCTTGTTATATTTATATGTCCAAATTGCTCTTAATTTAACATATATACGAAATTTACTTTATCTTTGATCTAATATGTTTAACTTCTGAATATTTTCTTTCCCTTTTGTTTCAAATGAAAGACTACAATAATATATATATATATATATATGAATGGAAAGTATTATTTAAAATATATAAATATAATAATTTACAATACGATACTATGATATAACATGAAAACGATATGAATAAAATACATAAAAGTGATATGATTTAAAATTTTAATAAAAATCATAAATGAATTTAATAAAACAAAAAATGTATTTATCATATAAAATATGACATAAATTATTAATATTTAATACAATATAAATATACCAATTATCAAATATATATATATATATATATGTATACATACACACACACAAATGCATTGACTTTAAAACTCGTATGATAATGATAATTATATATATTAATATTGCAAATTAATTTTTTGAGAATATTTGGAAACATTAGTAAGTGCCAGTTAATTAATTAGGTAATCTCTATGTCGGGGGATATCCATCTCTAACACCAAGAAGCAATAAAAATTACGTAAATATTGCAAGTTATTAGAAAAAAAAAAAAAAAACATATACATGGAATGATATGCATATATATATACAAGAATAAATTTTAGTAGATATATCGATGTGACAACCTGAAATCATTTTAGCTTTGATATTGCTGTTTAAAAAAAATGGAATTACGTATAAGGTGAAGACGAGGAGTTGGAGCTTGTTTTTTGTCTCTTGAAATAAACTCTTATATCGAAATTCACAAATTCTTGACAGATTTTAATTTGGATATTGCATATCTATATATATATATATATATATATATATGATTGTGAGAAAATATAAAAGAGTAATGTGTGAGGCTTGTTAATAATGTAATTCGCTGATTGATGATTTTTTTGGGGCTCTTCTTAATTATAGATTATATCATTTGGTTTTAGATGTTAAGTATCTAATTTAAAATTAATTAACAGTAAGTGAAAGGATTCAACTTAAATATAAAATTATAAGATATTAAAAATTTATTAGATATAAGATAACTCACTTTAATAAGTCTTCATCATATGTAGGTAAAGGTAGAAAAAACCTTTCACACGACAAATTAAGCGAAGATAAAAGAAGCCTTCTCTATGAAAAATTAGAAAAGGGTAACGAAAAAACTTTTTGACTCTAATACCATATTAAGCATCCAATTTAAAGTCAATTGACTGTAAATGGAAGAGCCTAATTTGAATATAAGACTATAAAAAATTAAAAATTTATTAGATGTGGGATAACCCACTTTAACAAGTCCCTATCACGTGTAGGCGAAAATGAAAGAAACTTTTCATGTGACAGATTTGAAAATGACAATAGAAGAAATCCTAGTTCTAATACCATATTAATCATCCAGTTTAAAACTATTTGATAGTAAGTGGAGAGGTTCAATTTGATTATAAGACTACACGATATTGAAAATTTATTAGATGTGGAATAACCTACTTTAACATTAGACATGATAATTTATATATTCGTATTTGTTTATTTTGAATCAAATATATATAAAACAAAAATATTTATTATTGTATCATAATTTATATTAATACATCAATTGATACGTCAATTATATAAAATATATTTTTATCAAATTCATTTATAATTTTGTTAAACTTTTAAATCGCATTATTTTCATAATATTTTATTATTTTTAAATCATTTCACCATATTATATTTAGAATTATCAAATCTATTTGGCTCTTCTTAATTTAATTTTAAAAGGGACTTCACTCAAAAATGAAAATGTGAAACCAAATTGTAAAATGAAATGCTTAATCCTATGGCTGTGAATTGGAAGAGTTGACCTAGTTTCAATAGAAAAACCCCACCTTATGGTTATTAACTTATTATATTATTATGAATCTAACCTGCACGAAAGTCTCTCAAGATTGAGAGAATTTTTAAATAGCTAGCTGAATTCCTCCTTAACCCAATGCATACCTTTATTATTCTTTGACATTCCAATCCTTTAATAGTTTAAAGTTACTTGTATGACCGTTTGGAAACCAAGTTCCTAAAGGTAACCATTACAAAAAAGATTAAGAATTTTCCTTATACATCATATGATAGATTAATCTAAGCAATTTGATAATAAAAAAATATAATTGTTAGAATAAGAGAATGCTTATAAATTCTCAATAGCAAGAATAAAGAACAAAGAATTGACCAAATTAAGATGTTAACACTTTAAATTAAATCATGATGCACAGAAATAAGCTTTGGGAGGCACTTGATCAAGGTAATATATATATTAACGTCTCTCTTCTTTCTCCGATGGAATAGTGGACTTATGGGTGATTTCATTGATTCATGTATGACTGGTTACATGCATACATGCATCCATTTAGAATAATTTACTCTATATTTATGCATGAATATATGTATGCATATGCATATTCATACATACATGCATCATCCTATATTTATGTATATAGTTTTTTTAAGTAAAATAATTTATGCATGAAATAGACTATTGACTAAGAATTTAACTATTGAATTATTAAATTATAAATTAAATAAAAATATGAAAAAATATAAAATTAATCGCCAAATTAATTTTTCACTGTTGTATATATATATATATATATATTATACTTTTAAATTGCTAGACTCCACATCGTTGTTTTTTAATTTAAAAAATTATATGATATA